AAGAGCATGGTGAGCAGTCAGATGGCTGTTTTATGACGAGACTCTCTTTAATTCCATTTTACTCTCCTATGCTAGTCTTTTTCTTTTACCTTCCTGCCACTTCTCCACCTCAAGAGAATGGAGCGAAGGCATCAAAGTAGTAGATTTAGGAATGTCATTGAGGTAGGTATGGTATATGTATAGATATTGATCGATCAGGTTGTGTTGGGGAGAATCGACTCAGCATTTTCTTGAAATTACCAATAGACCCAAATATTCCGCTTTCACACTGGATGCGTGCCTTCGGTTACCCTTGCTCTGATAAATAGACTAGCTTTCCTCCGACACCCGTCAGAACCTCCTGCTTCCTGCCTTGCTTACGCCTTTACGCCCTCCGCTGCTAACTTCTATGTGCATGGTCAACAACTCGTAGAGTGGATGCGCATGTACAAAAATGGTGACTTATATTTTGTGGCGTTATCGCGAACTTCCAGTGGCGATGGCAAAAGCATTTGGAATGGTAGTGTGCTGGGCGGTTCAGTGGTTCTATGTCAGAGAGCGAGTCTAAGCAAACCAATTTATTTGCCGGTAGAATACCGAGTAACAGCAATCGCTCACGCCTTCTCCGAAGGCATGGCGTCATCGGGACCATGGACGATGACACTCCCCCGGCCCCAGAATGGCAATTACAAATAATTTACATGAGGTAGGATTTCAATAGATTACACTATGCATCAAGATCACTATTTTCCTTGAGCGTTGAAGATCGACGGTGGCATTCTCGATTAAGTTGATAAACGACGGCTTTTCCGAGCGCTGGTGATCGACGACGGCTTGATCGAAGGTGGGAATAAACGATGAATAGCAGGAATAGCAATAGAAATAAGAGACGATGGAGGCGAATAGGTCTAAGCGACGGTGGGGTAATGATGAGGAGATGCATGAGTAGCGGGGCCTCATGAGTGGCTGGGCATGAGGTCTTCTGTGGGAGCAGAGGTGGGAATTTGGTTAGAATGATCTCTGGCCACATTGGATCACAAGTATTCCGGACATCATAACCAGCGGAGACCATCTGAATTAAAACCTATATTTGCTCTAATGTAAATAGGCAGTTATCAGCTAAATTGGTTGCTTCCCTCATACCCACAACTTCCTGGACAATTTGCGATTTGTAGGTTGATTAGTCGCAGTAGGTTTCTTCTAAGGTTTTGTGGTAAAGGTTGGATTCCCTGGATGGCTGATTTTGCTCCCCCCCCCCCCTAAGACTTCCTTTTAGGAGAGCGATCTTTCCAGTAATATCCAGTTCTTCGTTTTGATGCACTAGGGTCTTAAGGATCGCCCAGTATTCAGGAAATTCCTTCGGCTTACCAAGAAACTTGGGCAAGTATGCCTTTAGAGGCTTTATTGAACGCCGTAGTAGGCCACTCGTCGAATTTGATGACATTCTCTTTCCTCATGGTCAGTGGAAAGTCAATTATGACCATTTCTTTCATTTCGATGAGAATTGTGCTCAGAATCTTCCTCTTGACAACCGACGTTTTGGAACCCCAATTCGAGCGGTGTTTGTTCAGTTTCACCAGAGGATCGAGTGATGTTACCGAGTTTTATGCCTGTTCTCTTATACGTGCACCTTGACTCGTCTAATTGAGCTGTGAGCATAAATACTAAATCACTTGCATCAGAAATCGACAGTAACTGACTCTTCTTTGATTTGCTCGATTTCTACCATTATATCTTTTTTATTCGACTTATTTTGGCGTTTCTGTACTAGTCTCTAACAAAAGAGCCACATGGAACGACGTTAGTCGTAATTTTCCTCGTCTGCGGTCGTGTATTCGATTGAAAGGTATAACCTTCGTAACGGCTGTCAGGTTCTTTAGCGTCGTTGCACTCAATACGATAGGTGTTATGCAGAAATGCAGAGTCATCATTAATTGCCCGAATTCCTTAAATTTTGACTGCCACAACTTTTAGTCTTGGGTTCCTTTTTACGGAGGCTATTTGTTCAGTGCGAGCGTTGTTTTGCTTCTTTATTCCAAGAAAAGGTTGTTCCAGGTAATGAATACGGGATCGTTTTCTTTTTTTTCAAATTGGAGGTAGTTCGCTTTTTTGCGAACAGTTGGCTTCAAGTAATGAACACGGGAGCACTTTCTTCTCCTTTGAATTCAAAAGAGAACGATCTGATTCGATCATGCGGTTAAGAAATTACCGCCTTGAAATCGTGCTCTTGTTACGAGCAGTTACTTCTCTAGAGGTCCAAGATTTTACTCCTAGACACATTGAAGAAGTAGGGAGAAAAGAATTGACAAAAACTAACTTTTGGCAGATGCACCAAAATGTGCTGGGCAGTTCAGTGGGTTTTAAGTCAGAGAGCGAGTAAAGCAAACCAATTTGTTTGCCGGTGGAATATCGAGTAACAGCAGCCGCTCACGCCTTCTTCGACGGCATGGGGGCGGGGCGCGGGGGTGTCGGGGTCATCGGAACCTTGGACTGACAGGTAGAGTAAGCTGTGGATGTTCATATAACAGTTGTAGTGGCTTTCGTTTTACAACATACTCTTGCACTGATTAAAACTTAGTTTTCTGACAGCCGTTTATTTCCCCTCCCCACCTTCATACCTACACACACACTACACGGAACGACTGACAGCGTGCCTAGAGGTATTTATTTTACAGCTGAAGGGATACCGTTATATACATAGCGAAAGTTGATACCTGGCAGGCAGTTGGTTAATTGCTGTCCCCTTATTACATCCTCTGAAATAAGAGAGGTACAGTCGATATCCGAAAGTTGGGGTAGGCGTGTCACCGGAAGTGACGTGCACTTGATAGAAGCTATGTGGATAAGCTGCTTCCAACATACATCGCTGGATATCAGCAAAGCATGGCAACAGCTTATCGCAACTTCTATGCAAGTCACTTCCGTGACATGCCTACCCCAACTCTGATATCGAGTATACTGTCCGGACGGACACACCGGCATACAAAGTTAGTTGTTTTTTTATAATAGAAGAATGACGGGTCAGGTGGACTCACCAAAAGTAGGGTTCATCACTGCAGGGCCCCAGCCCTCCAACTAATAATAATCATTGTGTTATTCTTCATTATCTTCGTTCTTGAGGGTAGCAGTGGTGTAGTGGCAAGTGGCACGCTTACCACGCGAGCGGTCCGGGATCAAATCCTGGGTCGTGAGTCGCCCGGGCCAACCAAGCCTTCCATCCCTCCGGGGTCGGTTAATTGGTACCAGACTTGTCTGGGAGGATAAAAACACTGACTTGTACATCGGCTGGCCCCCGCAAGTCATTGTATAGGCCACATCGCACTACGAATGTACAAATGGAAGTAGAATGCGTGCCGCATCCCAAAAAGGGATTGATCAACGGCAAATGCTTATCCTTCACATGAAGTCACTACAGTCCGTATCCGAAAGTTGGGGTGTGCACTGTCGCCTAAACCTACACCCTGAAAAAATGCAGGACGAGTTTTTTGGCAAGCTGCCCACTGTTTGAATTCAGTTCGTTGCGGGACCCACGCCATTTGCCACTACCGTAATTGGTTTTGGCGCATCGTTCCTATTAGGACTGTCCATTTGAATGGTTGACATTGGTTTTTGGAATGAATGCAATGTTGTTGCATTCATTCACGGCCACGATTTTGCCGGACTCCATCAAGCACTACAGATGAGTTGGAGTAACTTCAAAATATTGGGCGGAGAATAGAATTGGATTGCTTTGCGAACCCAACAAGTATAGTGGCCCGCTCGAGATTCAGGGTTTCCAACCTCGGCGAACGTACAGCTTGATAGATCGCATACAAGTGTATGATAGTAAACACCTTAAAGAAACGACAAATGAATAGCATTAGGGTTCAAATTCTCCACTGGAGGCCACAAGTAGTGAGCTTGAAAAAAGTATACCGGCCCAAAATTCTACAAGATTTGCATAATCTAACCCATACAGGTTACCCAACCTCCAAATCACACATATTTCATGGACCCGTAGTTACTCCTCAATCGAATCGCCGCTGAATGGAGTAAAAACCTAGGGAAATCCGCGATACAGGACTTCTTCTTGTCTGATTTCCGCGCTCGACAAGATTTTACGACAGATGACGTCATTGAAGTTGCTCTCTTTTCTATACTCTAACCGCAAAGGACAACCGCTCATCACCTAGAAAGCACAGGGGGGATCCGCTACCTGGAGGCAGAGCCATCCATGAAGATAAACGTATCATCGCCTGAGCTGCTCAGAACATACTCTGCTACATGTAGATCGCCTTTTCTTCCATGACCTCAACTCGCTGTCATCTCCACCAAACTCCTTTCGTAACTGGTTCGGTTCGCAAGAGCAAAGGATGCTGATTTTTATTGCCATATATTAGTATGACCATTCTAGAATACAATAGATCGGTTGCACCTGATCACATAGGCTTTCTTCATATTCAGCAATTACTTATTAGTACTTCAACATTACAATAATAAGTGCTAATAATGAGAATATCCTAGTTTGTTAAAGCCAATGTATCATTTCAACTCTCGTAAACGTCAATGCTGTACTTTCCCTTCTTACAAGCTTTGCAGCTTCAAATGTACAGTCCTAATAGGAACGATGCGCCAAAACCAATTACGGTAGTGGCAAATGGCGTGGGTCCCGCAACGAACTGAATTCAAACAGTGGGCAGCTTGCCAAAAAACTCGTCCTGCATTTTTTCAGGGTGTAGGTTTAGGCGACAGTGGGGTGTGCGTGTCACGGAAGTGACGTGCACTTGATAGAAGTGCGTGGATAAGCTGTTGCCAGCATGCTTTGCTGATATCCAGCGATGTATGTTGGAAGCAGCTTATCCACATAGTTTCTATCAAGTGCACGTCACTTCCGGTGACACGCCCACCCCAACTCACCGATATCGAGTATATGTAGAACATGTTGTAGTGGAATATAATGGGAAGTTTCGTTTTCACAAAAAGTTTCCCCTGCCCACTATTTGCAAGGAAGATTGAGAAGGTATCTTTTCATGGTAAGAAAGGATGATTTATCTAGTTTTTGCATTCAAAACCTAAAAGCCAAGCTGTAAGTAATCATGACGTTGGATAGGCGCAAGGGCAAGAATCCAATATTCTTGAACTCACTGCAAGCTATGATGTCATCTTTTCAAAAAAGAAGCCAATGTTCTTTAGACTGATTGACTATATCCGCTGAGGATTCATTGGTTCGTAACAATGGAATGATTCCAGGTGAAAGCGGCCGGAAAGTATCGACAACAAGGCAAGACATACGTAGTCGAAGACGGCGACGTCATTCTTTTCAAATTCAATGCCGGGGCTGGACTCACAGGAGCTAAAAAGAAGTGACCATCATCAGACGCATGTGCAAGCAGCCTACGCTTCCCGATTCTGTTATGCTTATTTCATTGTTGCGTTGTTTTCGATAAAGGTTTTGCCAACAACTTAAGAGCTCTTTCGACAATGTCAGCTAAGGTGAAGTTCTAACCATTTTGCGGTAATTTACACTGCGACGAATGGGGCGAAAGAGGTGTGGCGAGGCTGCGGCGAGTGGGAGACGCAAGCGCAACAACAATCGCGGTCGGAACCAGGCGGCTAGAGCGATGGCGGGGCAGCGTGAGCTGGTGGAGACGCAGCGAGGGCGTGCCCGACGGAGAGAGCATGACAGAGCGACGACAAGCGAGCGACGAGAGAGTGCGCGAGGCGCGGACGACACGGTCGCAACGACGGAGTGTGTGGCGTCGGCGAGACGGCGGGACAGCGTCGAGGGAGCGTGCTGCCGAGGAGAGCGTTCCGCGGAGGCGTGCCGATGCGGGGCGTGCTGCGGCAGCGGGCGGTCCGTCATTTGCCCCACCCCCGATGGCCGAGCCGCCCCTCCTTCCGAAGCCACCCGGCCAGCAGCAACCCGCTAAGGTAAACTATCTGTGCTGGAACTTGTACATGGTTTCCAGTCATTGCCATTATGAGTGTGACGCGGTAGAGATCTCCTGCTGGGTCTTCCATTGCCATTTCAGGTGATCCTGATCCCTCATGCTACTCAACAGCCCACCCAACAAGTCTACCTGCTTCAGCCGAACACCGGTCAGCAACAGGTGAGAATGACAGATCTTTTGTCGTGTGCGTATCGATTTCTCGCCGACGATTTGGCATGTGTATTGGTTGACTCGACTGCCTTCACACGGTTAGTGTCGAATATACACGTGAAACCTGAGATCATAAGAGCAGTATGATCCTGAGCTGAGGGTTACATCCATTGCAGATTCATTTTCTTTTGGCATTGCTGGCCTGAGTGAACTCCTTAATGGTCAAGTGAGAATATTCATACAGTAGGGTAGTTTGCTTTGCGGAGATTGGCAGTTTTGACTTTCTTTGCCTCAGTCCTATCCCTATAGAGCTCAATTGCATGTATGCTTTCTGGCGGTGCTTAAGGACATGGTTGAGCTCACTTTTTGATGGAATTTTTATAGTTCATCAAGATCGCGGGGTTTTCTTATCATTCACCAGATTTTTCTTGGCGGCGGCAGTTAGAACGCTGGTTGTGGTCAATTTTCGGTGTACTATAGACATGTAAGTTTTAATGCTTCACATTCCGCCACAGCAGCTCACCCTTCTTCCTCCCCTTGCAATTTACAAAATTACGCAAGATTTCATTGGCTGGGTACATTCGTACGAATGTTTTGAAGAAGTCTTAGATGGTGGCATTTTGAGTGCGAACACCTAACAAAACGCTCCCGTAAATGGTATGGGATTTCAAATGGTGTCTCCTAGAAACGTCTACATTAAATGGTTGCTTCCTTTTTCGTGGCCTGCTGCTGCAAGTAAAATTCTAAAGCAGATCACTTCCCATATTTTGACATTCCTCAGAAATTTTGCCACTATTGTTTCACCTCCCCGTTTTAGGTCTATGTGAGGTAATCGAGGTTAAATATGTTGCTGTGGGTTAGATTTTGTGCCCTTGCTTCTTCGTGGATAGGGTAAATGAAGAAGTACGTCAACATGGTATCGCGTGATTGCACAATCGTATGGTCGACCGTATGTATTCACTCCACACTTGAACTGCGAGACACTCGCTCAAGCATGACCATGGCGTGAGAGAGGGTCTGTGTAACTGTGTTTCTGACAAATTTGTAGCCCTTTCATTTGGGGTGTTTGCTTGGGGTGAGACAGAAATTGTGGCGCTATGTCATGGAGGCCATCAGTTTTCCCGTTTTTGCTGTGGTGGGTGGCTGGGAGACGAGAAGTCAAGCTCAATACGCAATCAAAGGGCTACCGTAATTCAGTTTATTTCAAATAAATTGAATGCTCGCCGTTGGCATCCAGTGAATACTGAGTATGACTCCTGAGTGGAAAATTTGCAACTATTTGCAAGGAGTCGGATGAGGGAATAGCTAATCACGCGTAGCAGTCTGGCTAGGTGCGTGCCCTTTGACAGATACAAAGTCAAGCAAAGCTGCAAAGCAAATTGTGAGGAACCGCGCAAATGCTGCCAAACTTCTCAGGTTTACTCCAGCGAGGAAAACGTCATTTTAAAATACAAAAGGGCAACGATATATAAAATTAGATGTAATTCGCACCTAACATATAAGTAGATACATCGAGGCAGGTGGGGGTTCAATGTACGCTAGAAAGGGGACTAGAAAGTGATACATAGTGGTAATGAGCGGCAACAATGTGCACGTGGAGGTGAGCTGCAGACAAAAGAAGTCTGAAAAGGGTAGCGCTCGGTTACCAACCGGACACATTTTATGATTCGTCCCATTTAATTGGAATAACACGCATCAGTTGTGATCAGGAATTGAGTGAACCCTTATCTGTTTGACTTTTCTATGGCTATGCAAATCTCTTGTTAATTGTTGTTCCCTATGTCCCGAAGCGGTTTTATCGGATAGTCCGTCGTATACTTGCGCCACGCGAATGCGTATTACCAAAGACTTGTGCATCCAATCCATTATCATGTAGATGCATAGCGGTACTCGAACACGGCATTTCCAACACGGCACAACGGCATTTTTAAGTTCCCCTCGCAGAGGGAAGTTCTGAAGCAAGAATAATGCTTACCACATGAGAATCATGTGATCTGATCTTACAAATCCTGACCCTTCGCCAATTTCGGAATCTAATCTTGAATTGATGGCACTCATCGAACGAAAAGTCAATAGAAGTGGTGTTGTCACAAATGACAAGGCGCTTTTTCCTATTGTCAGTTCCCTATTGTTGAGGAAAAACATTGGCGTATGATGAAAGGTGACGGAAGCAATTTCAACAAATAGTAGTGGTACTAAATGTTGATTCTGTAAGTGTTGGATCATGGCAATAACCATCATAGCACTTCTGGATCATGGTATTGTATGTTCTCGAGGAAATCAGCCGTACAAATGTGTGTCGCGTAATGCGAGATTTGGAAAAGATCCAGAAAGAAGTTCTGAAACCCTATTTAACTTTCAAGTTATTTCAATCTTATTCTAATTAAGGTTTACCGGAGGCCGCGGTCTTACTGCAGCTGTTTCAAAGGAAAAACCCGTAACATTTGTAAATGTCGCAACTTTTCTTCCAAACTTTGATATCCCATTGCGCATGGTCGACCATGACAAACTATCCCATCTTGTATATGTGATAGCTTTACTCACTGTACAGAAACGACTTTACGGTTCTCTGAGCACAGCCAATATTTCCCTGTAAAATTTTCTGTTTCATTGGCGAGCTGCCCACGTGAACAGGAAAGGCAATGATGTCGCCGTGAACCATTCAGCTTGTGCGAGAAGAGGTTTAACCAGGAAAGGTCATTCGGTCAAGGTGTAAAATGTTCTTTATAGAAGTGGGGGCGGAAGTGGTGTAGTGGCAAGTGGCACGCTTACCACGCGAGCGGTCCGGGATCAAATCCTGGGTCGTGAGTCGCCCGGGCCAACCAAGCCTTCCATCCCTCCGGGGTCGGTTAATTGGTACCAGACTTGTCTGGGAGGATAAAAACACTGACTTGTACATCGGCTGGCCCCCGCAAGTCATTGTATAGGCCACATCGCATTCAAACGCCACTACGAATGTACAAATGGAAGTAGAATGCGTGCCGCATCCCAAAAAGGGATTGATCAACGGCAAATGCTTTATCCTTTATCCTTTATAGAAGTGTACATTTGTTTACGCACTTATCTGCTAAACTCTTCTTCGAAAGCAGTTGTAGAGGGTATCGTCGCTCTTGCTCTCTAGTGTGTGTCTGCAATCACAAAAAAGCCCTCACAAAAGGCTCAAAGAAGTTGCGTGCTGTGCCTCAGTGGCGCAGCTGCTAGCGGTTTTGATTCTGGAGGCTTCCGGCTCGATTCCTCATGCAGTTTGCTGCTTTGCTTTTTTCAACATAGCAAAGAAGTCTTTGTCTCGGCATCAGGCTGTTAACGTTGGACGTCCTCATTGCCTCTGGCATTAACAATTACCGGTGCTAACTTAGTGGGGGGGGGGGCAGGGTGAATATCGCTTGAGGATTCCTCAACGGCACGTCGAGGATTCTCTGCCCGATCAGAGACGATCTCTCGCGCGGACATTCACACTCGCCATGCCGTGCCGTCTGTGCTCTCCGCGCGGATGTTCACTCTCGGCACTACTCTCGCATGGTAGAGAGCTATGGTCGAGGATTTCCTCGACCGTTATTCACCCTGGTGCGGGGGAGAGGGACCACGCGGCGGCGCGGCGCTTTGCTCGCCTGGCATCTTTGCGTACTTCGGGAAATCCGTGAGCCAGGGGGACTGTAGGCAGTCTAGGGGGGTGGGGGAGGGCAGTCACTTGACATGCGTGAAAAGCTGGAATGTTCGAGTTTACACTGTCTCGCTCGAGAGAGCGCCAGGTGAGCAGACTGCCGCGCCGCCGCGTGGTCCCCCCCCCCAACTAAGTTAGCACCCAATTACCTTTGTCAGTGCAAAGCTCCTCTCGTATATCACCAACAACTAGAGTTCGGAGGAGGTTAAGCTCCTTCTTTCAGAACTTGGCGCTATATTGTTTCGGACAAGGAATGTCCAGAATGGGCTGTTTATGCAATAGACTTAAGTGCAGGCCATATGTAGTGTGATGTTAGGGTTTATTCGGAAATCTCCTCCTCGTGAATCAGTCGCGCAGTTCCAGTGAAATCTTAGCTGAACATCAAGGTAGCAGATTTTTAGGCTGCATCTGGATGGAACCCCTTTTTTCTTATATCTTCTTACTGTTTTCCTATCACTACATTATTGTTGTCAAATGGGTCGTAAATGAAATATGTGACAGGCATTTGATTTTTTACAGAATTGTTCAACTCTCAGTGCATGATTTATTAATTGGCTATTACAGCTTACCTTCATTCCGGTTCAAATCCCGGCCGATACGCAGAAGAAACAAATGACTATGTTAAGTCCAATGCAACCAACGAACAGCAACACGCATATAAATGTTGCGCAGGTTTGTGGAAGTTATTCAAATTTGGAAGCCTAGCAAGTGGTTTTCTCGATCTGTTCGATATGTGTGTGCCTAGATGGAAACTCTTGACTCTGGTCGTGCTGGAGGAACGCCAATATCACAGACACCATCACAACAGCGGATAACTCTTGGTGAGATTCTTTTTTCAAGTTTGCGAGTTTAGATATTCAAAGGAGTAGCAGTCGCAAACGATCACTACGAAGCTGGGGAATTTAAGAATGATACTCATTTCCTTTCAGTGAAGTCCACAAACAGTGTGAACTCTAAACTATCCATGAGCGGCTTTGTGCCATATGCTAGCAAAACTCGATGAGTATAGAGAATTTCTGTGTAAGACGGACGATGATTTCTAAAAGGGTTGATGGAGATATTTGTGATAAGTGATATTAATGTACGAATCAATTCGGGCACTCTTGCTGTTGAAGGAATTGCGACAACATGAAACTTGGTCTCAATGTTTGATACTATTTTCCAGTATGTAGTTACAGTTTTGCATTTTTCAGGTAATTTACATTTCCAACAAGATCCTAATGACCCACAGAAATGGATTATCACTAATGATTCGGCTGCCACAACTCCATCAACGCAACCATCGAACCACTCCCACAGTCAATCGGCTAGAATGACTGGTGGGGGAGATTCACCTAACATGATGGTCGGCGAATACGAAATGGGAATTGACGATGTAATTCCGCCTTAATTAGCTTCTTTTTCGCTTGCTTATTGTCGTTGTTGTTGTGTGTGCCGTTACTCTCGAAAGTTTCAATTAAGTATGGTGCCACCGCTTTTTGAAACATCAAAAAGATTTCATATATTTAGGGTTTAAATCGAACTCAGCGCGTTATGACTTGTTTTTGGTTCCTAACTGCTGTTTTGGCCGCAGTTCGCTTACGAAAATATACGATGTGAAGCGAGTTAAAGCAACAGTCCAAGCAGGGTTTCAACCATTCGATCATGAGGGGTGGAAACATGCACTAGCCCTAGTCAAGTACATAGGAAATGTCACTGATTTGAAAACTTACCTTTGAAAGGCGTTGGAAGGGGGTCTAACGCCGTTCGAAGTGGGCGGATCCACCGAGCCTCGGTACGGCCGCCCACTTCTGTCGTGAGTGCGATTGGCTGCGCAGACATTTGCGGTCGTTTCGGGACCACCGGGACTATTTGAGGTCGATCCTTTAAAGCAATCGATGTGGTGATGCCGACTACGCTGGATTTCTACGTTTTTTTTCCTTCTACCTTCTACCTTCAAAACATAAAACGATTTCATTATTGCGCCCCAATTGCAATTGCTGGCAAGTAGCCAGCTATTGCTGCTATTGCCAGCAATTGCAATTGGGGCGCATTTACTGCGGGCATGTTCAGACAACTCGTCCAACACGCGTCTTCCTCCATTGCTAAGTGGCAGAGGGGGAGTCCCTGTCTAAGTCCCTGTTCGACGTTTTTTTTTTTTTCTTTCATTATTGGTCAACTTTTCACCTACAACTTCATTATCGGTGGTTTTAGCCCGCGAATTCGTTCTTGGATTGTTGCTTTAAGGTGAAAGCTGTCTCGGTAGGGTTGTTTGTAGCGTACTTGCTCGGAAAGCGAAAGGTGCAGGTTTGAGTCCTGCCTGGGCCGAATGTTTTGTTCATAAACCAGCATTCTTTGAAAAGTGCTTCATGTTTCTCTATTTGCATCTTTCCCTTTGAGTTCGCGACAGACGCGATGCCTTTTGTCATATTTGATGTTTCCTAGCCCTCGTAAAATTACGTTCACGGGCGATACTCAATATTTCAACTTCTCTTTATTTACTCAGGAGCGTTCAATAATGTCAATCGTACGTGCCATTAGGCTGCGTTTCAAAAGGAAAAGTATATGC